TAAAAATTTTCCATGACTTATCAAAGCCCTTCACGGTCGCTTTTACGATCAGCAAGCCCGACTTGCAAACACGTTCCGTGTTCAAGAACACGCAGCTCTCGGGGCTGGGCCTGCTGCCCTCTACCTCTTTGAAGCTCAACAGAACTCAATTCTCCCGGAGTAGGGCGCCTTGTGCCTACTGGATGTTCTCCTTCTCCCGCGTCAAAACTGAATGGTTATAGGCGGGACGTCGGCTCGACGAACCTTGACGCGCCTTGTGCAAGAGACAACCCATTCGAAGGTTATGGGTGTCTCCACAAACAAAACACCGTCGGATGTTGACACTTTGCTCAGCATCTCGGAGCTCTCCCTCCTCCTTCTCAACATAGCTGAGATCCATTGGATCAAGCCCGCTTGACGAGCTCGGAGGGTATGCATCTAACAAAGTCGTGCCGACTTAAAGTTGGTATCGGCATTCAATGCCACATTCACCGCTTCTTCGATAGAAGACGGATGCACACGGAAGACATCCATTCAGGCCATGCCAGTGCGGAGGCCCTCCATAAAGACGGTCACTGTAACCGCCTCGAGGAGAGGTACTGCTGCCATTCCGGCAATTATTGCTCTCAACTCTTGGACAAAGGCCACCAACTCCTTCTTGCCCTGTTAGGCAGCAAGGAAACGCAATTTCACGCGATTTGCCTGATTGGGTGGCAAGAACACCCGCAGAAGCAGACGCTTCAGCTCCTTCCAGCAGTCGAACGCAGTTTCAACCGAAGCACCGCACGTTAGTACTTATTCTCTCTCTCGGCCCCCAAGCATGGAGATAGCTAGCGCCACGCGCTGTTCCTCGTTCCGGAGCATGGCGAATGCCATAGCCGTCTCGGCCTTTCTTACCCAGAGCAGTGGATTCTCTCCATTTTTACCCTCGAGGGTCTTAATACCCACCATGAGAGGTCTGGGTCGAGAGGAGTCATCCGTCGTCGACAGTGGCGTCATGGATGTAGTCGACGCCGACAGCTTTTGCTGTAGGTTCTCTAAAAGAGCATTTTCATAAATCAAAAACGCCTCTAGGCGCGCTTTTCATCGCTTGGGGATCTTGCGAAACAAGGTGTTCCACGCCCTCAGGGCCTAGCAGGAACATCAACCTTCTTAGCCCCCTGGGGCAAATAGAAGTATTTCTTCATCCTCACAGAAGGTCAGTCGTAATGACCCAGGCGTAGATTGGGTACGAGTGTTACCAAGTGCAGCGGGGCTGTCGTAGCTCTTTGCCTAGAGGAAGCTAATCTAACGTCACCGACCTTACTCTCTTTACAAGAACCAGTACAAGTGTAGCGGATGGCAACCCGTTACATCCAAGTACTAAGAATTTTAACCAAGGTAACGACGTTCTTTCGTTCAAAATTGAAACAGTGTTTAATTGCTTTAGTGGCGGCAGAGCCGCCAATATCTAAAACCCTAGGTTTTTCTAATTAATATAGTAAGATGTATTACTACTGCCAATCCTGCCACGTGGTGCCTGCTTATAACGGTGTAGCCGCACCACTGTGTGATTACACTTACTTGTGTAATCCGCACCTATATACGGTCACAACATCTTGCGCGACCCGCTCATTCATACAAGGGTACGTGTAATCAATTTCTTGGGCGTTTCGGAGAAAGACCATTCGCTTTCTCCCAATCTTCTTTCATCATCCAGCTCCAAGCCGTTTTCCAGTAATAAAGTTGACTTCCGAGAAGGCCTTGACCGCTCTGTGCCCGGACGAAACACCAAATGATTCTCCCTAATTATTCGCGGGGAGTGATATTCTGTCAGATCATGCCCAGTTGCTATCCGATCTTCGAGTGCTCCAGATTATTTTTGCGCTCTAATTCGACCTCACCCGTCTCAATATCTTCCGTTGACTCCTCGACACTATTCATAGGTTCGTCTATCACCGGCCGTCGCTCAGCAGGAAAATGTGTCGCTTCTTCATTCAGTTCCGTGAAAACATGGGTAACTGATTTGTTTTCCGAACACGTTGTGTCGTAAATACCATTAACTTCAAGCTCATCAAGCTGAACAGATTATGCAATCTTGATTTTTGATAATGCCAAATCATAAACACGATACCCCTTCCCGTTTTCAGCATACCCAAGAAGGATACACTTATAGCTCTTAGGGTCAAGCTTCCCCCTTTTGTGCTGTCAAGTGAGAATATCCGGACCCAAACACACGTAGGTGTTCCATTGGAAGTTTATGCTTAAACTTATCTCTTATGGCGTCATGTCACACCCTTCGGTGCTCACAGATCTATCAATCAAATATACTGCAGTGCTTACAGCTTCCGCCCACCGAAATATTGATATGCCCTTGTAATGAAGTATACCTCTTGCCTTCTCCATGATAGTGCGATTCATCCATTCAGCTACACAGCTTTATTGAGAGCTATAAGGTACAGTCCGCTGATGTATGATACCATACCGAGAGCACATAGATGTGATCTTCTTGTTCACGAATGTTCGTTCTATTGTCAAAGCGAATGCATTTAATTTGCTTCCCCCACCGCTTTTCGAAAAACGTCTTATATTCGGCGAGCTTTACGGCGACCACACTCTTACTATTCAGGAAGTGAGCAACCACGAAACGTGAAAAATCATCCACAAATGTAAGTACATAGCTTTCTTCTCCTTTCGATACCATCTGCATCGATCCGCTTTCCATCTTGAATTCATGCATGCGGCGTGGCATCTCGATCTCGACACGCGTGGTACGATTGTGGAATTCTTGTAGAATGCTACAAGCGTCCATAGCCGTCGACGAAGACCGAATCTTGGTCTGGTGCTGTAAAAAGATACTGCAGCGGAGCTGCCATAGCACTGTGCGTCTATAGGTCACCGACCTTTCGTTCTTTACATGAACCAAGTACTAGTGCAGCGGATCGCAATCGGCTCTTTACATGAACCAAGTACTAGTGCAGCGGATCGCAATCGGTATCTAAAAGTACTTACAAGCCTTAACCAAGGCAAACGAACACTTCTATTCAAAATCGAAATTGATTTTTATATATGTTTTTACCTAGTTTTAAAAGTTTAGATTTTTCTGAATATACTAAATATATATAGTAAAATCTGAATATGCATAACTACTGGCTACCTAGCCACATACCGTATTCTTGCTTGGGTGCAGTCACTACATGCACATCTTGTGTGACACACACCCCTGTTACCAGGGTACGTGTTCCCCGTAACACCTTTTCCCATTAAATTCGAGAGCATATACAGTTCCAATCGATAATTGCCTCAACGAGGCTTGCGTGTCCGTTAGACACAGCAACTCCATTTGTTGGAACAACCAAATTCCTTGCTTGATGAGCCTTGTGTCAATGACACCAAAATCTCCAAGTCTAGCCGGTTCTGACGGCGAGCATGGGCAGAGCCCAACTTCATCTCCCGCACTCGGTGCAACGTCGGACAGTGCGTCCGCAGCACCGAGGGGCGTATATCCCAGGCTCGATGAGCACAAACGTCGCACTCCGCGCACGCTTTCAGCGCCGATTGGCCTCGTTGAGGATGTGATCGACTATGAGTCTGACACCCCTTTCCCGCATGGGATGACAAGGAAGACGAGCTGTGCCGGCGGCGCGATACGAGATCTGCTCGTGTCATGCGGACCCCATGTCGTTCCCTGACTTCTCGTCAACTGAGGCACGTGGTGTGATCACCAGTGACCTCGACGGAGAACAGAGGCGGCAGCTTGAAGTTGCCCTTAGGCGGCTCTAAAGCGCGCCAATCCACGGCCGGTCCAGTCTGACCTCCGTTATTTTAAAACGAGTCTGGTCTGCAATCAGACACCCGCCACACTCTCCATGCAGATGAAGCAGGCTCCTGAGTAGCTCGATGGTCAGGAAAAAGTTTGGCAAAGAACATAGATTGCCTTGTTTTCTATCTCGCGTGGGATACAGCGCAGGCTTGATGTGCTCGTTGAACATGAGATCAACATGTGTGTTGGTGTAGAGCAACTTGATCTTAATGTACCAGAAACTTTGGTAGCGTTTTCTGACAATCGAAGGCGATCTCGGCTCCCCGCATTAGTGAACTGACAGATGGTTTAATTAGTCGCTTTGAAAGTGTTTAAGCAACGTATTAGCGACCTCTTGCGACTTGGTGTTTTGCTTCTGTCGTAGCGTAAGTGGTGCTGTATAGAAATGTTTCGCGCTTAGAACATAGCATTCAGGGCCCACCACACTTTTACAAGTTGACCTGAAGCTACTTTCGAGAGCACTAACCTTTGAATAGAAATAAGTTCTCCTGGACCTGATCCATCCCAAAAATAAAGGCTTTGCGAGCGATCTTTCAATTCGGCAAAAGAGTTTTGTCTAACAGTCCGAATTTTGCTTCGCTCATCAAGTCACAATACTCAACAAGCCAGCCTCAGTGACCAATGAGGCGATATGCCTTCGTCTAGTGCAAATTTAGTAATATAGTCGTCAATATTTTCACTGGTGCTCAGTACAAAAGATATGGTAGTGATTAAGAGAAGCATATACTGCTCTAGGTGCAGGCAATACATCTTATAAGTGGGCTCTCAAAGTGTATTGGTATCTGAGCGAAAGACCACACTCATAGGCATAAAAGGATTCTGATGACTATTTTCACAGACACGACATGATTGAGCTAGCAAAAATCATTTTGAGTCTCTCGCTTGCAGACGAGTAGGATCGCCAGGTCTAACCCATTAGTAAAGACTCTTCAGTGTGTCTTGCTGTGTGGTGTCGTAAAATCTTTGCCGTGATGGTTGGACTTGCTGTAACCTCGCCCTCACTGGTGGCACAAGTTTCAAGGTTTGCCTCAGTGATTTGCTGTAACTGTTTTTGAAAACCTTGGCTTTTTCACATTGGGGTTCTTAGCATCGAGGACCTTTGCTTTCTCAGTGCATTTTGAAGCCTTGCGGTAATCAAAGAGAGAAATGGAGAGCTCGATGTGCATGACACTTACAAGAGAAGGCACTGATAGGTGCATTAAATGAAATAATTGCGCTGTGAATGGTCGTGAACGTTCTTTTTGCGCGACGTCTTGAATAAATTAGATGAGTGTGATTCTTGTGAGTTTTGCATTTTGTTGTGGGATGCTCTGTACCAGTACAGATGATCTGGTACCGGGAGGTACACTGAATCAAGGAGGAGAGATAGGTCATTAAAGTGGACGAGCAATCACACCCCAGTTGTGTGATCGCCCTGCCAGGATAGTTGGATGGGAGGAGGCCCCACAAAAACCTCATAGTGTATTGAGGGGTACGGAACCCGGTCCCAAAATGGGTCGGAAAGCTACCAGCATCCCAAGCCAGAAAAAGCTTAATCCCAGCGTGTGAGTTCCGATAGTTTAAATCTCTGTACCAGTACATTACGCACAGTCCAAAGAAAAATATCATGATGAGTGATGGGAGGGGCCTTGAGTAAGTGAATTTTGTTGTTGTATTTAAATTCATGTCATTTTTAGCATTAAAACAGACTTACGTCAAGTCAAAACTATCACTGTGTGAGTTGCACTGCAAGGTTGATCGGCATAAGTACATTCTGGTTTTTAAAGAAATAAACGAACGCTTCCACAAAAGTTTAATTGTTTTGGCTCTCCGTTAATGCGCGGAATGGTCAATTCCATAAGCGAAAGTTACAAAAGCCAAGCAATATGCGATTTATTGCTGCAAATGCAGGCATTATTCTGGAGAACGTATAGCGAGGATTATTCAAGATTGACTATACTAACACGAACAATCAACTCGCGGACACGCTCTCGGGGTCTAAATTTAAGTATTGAGATCAAGCCCTTGGAGAAGCTTGTACACCACTAGCGAGTAGGAATGGTGAGATGACACCGTTTATTTTCTGAAGGAAAGACCGTTGACGTCGTAAAAATCAGCGTTTTTCCTGCAATGATGGTCGTTACTTGTTCTTCTTCATCAAAGCTCCTGTATATCGATCGTTTGACAAAGTGCTGAGTAACTCTCCGGAATTATACATCCCGTCTTTTAAACTCATGTTGTGAACCTTTGCGTCGGAATCTTCATTTCGTGACGAATGTCTGAGTCTCATTGAATGTGAAAAGTATTTTCGGACTCGCATCATTTTTAGTGTAATGCTGGCGAAAAATTGATAGATCGTCTACATGAGCACTGGCTGTACAACAACGCGCTCTAGACGCTGAGTCGTATCTAATAACCACTCAAAATGATGTTGCTGTGCAATCCTCCTTAAAAGCCGCACCGTCTCTAAAAGAGATTCCTGCATTCCAGGTAGCAACGTATATGTGCCTGAGCACGGGCAATATTCACGCATTTTGTGCTCGGCTGGCAGGTGACACTTAGTGCAGTAAAGATCTTGCAATTGATAAGCGACAGACTGGGCCTGAACTAGTTCCACTAGTCGCATTTCAAACGCGTTTTTATCGTATAATGCAAAGCATCGAGGGCAATACCACGCACTCGTCATTTCTGTATCTTCTTCATTTGCATCTTCCTCGTCGCCTTCTATGTTTGCCCTTGTAGATCTTCTGAACAATTGTGGATCTCGACAAAGATCAATAGAGCGGCAAAGGTTGCAGTTTAGGCAAATGACATCTTGCACTGTAAATGATAAGGATGGATTTCGAAATTGCGCCTCTTCACCAAATTCGCTTGTATGCAGCAGCTTAAGCAACGTGCGTCTCATCTTGCCAACTTGAGCCTCTACACTTGGCTCTAATTGAAAAACTGCCACGACAAACTTCACTAGTTCGAGCGCAGGGGATTCCATTTGAAGATGTGAGCCAGCATAGACAGGAAAGCTGTCTCGATCAAGATTGAAGGCCAGAATCTCTGGGATCAATCGAAGCAGCTTTTCGGAAAAATATGATGAAATCAACTTTTGAGAATATTTTGCAAGTGGACTCACTTGCTTTTCATCCTGATCTAAAGGTTCTTCACCTTCTTCAGCATCATCGGTCGCTGCTGAGTCACTTTTTGTTAACTGCTTTTGCTGAAATTCTGCGCGTCGACGAATAAATTGACCAATGAGGATAAGAAAGTATTCATCAACACCGCGAGGCAAATAGTTTGCAATGTTCCAATGAGCAACAATTTCCAATGGCTTGTCCTCGCTATTGTCATTGCTTGACTCGTTGATCCCTGGCACGATATGCTTTAATAGTATGCAGCCATAATTTTCAGCATCCATAAACAAAAGATTGGCCACATATTTCTTCGGCGTGAAATGAAGTACTTGAAAAAGCTCATTCGACAGCACAGTCTGTAAGATATAATTCACATACACCTGTGCGTCCCGCACCGACTGTTTCTTTGTGCACACAATAAGTTTACTGAAATCAGCGTAAATAATGTGTGATCCAAGGCGACGAAACTCAGCCAGAAGCTGTAAAAACAGTTTTTCCATTAACCGTTTGACCATTGAATGGAGTGCTGGATCAAAACTCAAAGAAGTAGGCGAACAGAGCCACCGGTAAAATTGCTGGAGCAGATGATCCGCAAACTTGTTTCGACTCGCCAAGAAATCCTTAAACAACGTCGTCACCATCAAACGTAACAAACGAAAAGCTTCGTGGCAGCTTTCTTCGGGATCACCCTCTGAAGCTGTAGCAAGTCCTTCTTTCTTTTCACTCACATCATCGTCACCGGTGCCATCAAATTCGATCTCCATTTGATGTGCAGCTCCAAAACCCTCAATATGATGAATCTGTGATGCCACAAGAATCGCATTTACTGCAAGACCATCCAGCTCAAGCTCAACGCACACATCGGCAAACGAACCTTTCTCGCATACTCCTACAGAAGCGTCTACAAGAGCATCGCTTGCCTTCTGCCGCGTCGATCCCAAAAGCGAGTGACTAAACAGTTGTTGAAACTGCTGGTCCTGCTCCTTGCCTCCCAAATCTGGCAGCGACGTTGGCGAGTGCCACCACAAATGTTTGTGTTTCATCAAGATCCGTGAGTACAGTGTATCTAAAATAGCGATTGCATGATCTCCTGTAAAGTTACCAACAGGTAAGTGTGCGTATCGGGCACAGTCAAGCACATCCGCATAGTATGGAGTCATCTTAAAACATCGCATTAGCATTTTTTCTCCCATCAGTTTTCGCCATGTAAGAGCTGGAAAGAGTGTATCTTCTTCATTCCATGGAAGGATAGCAAGTGGAAAACTATGAAGGCCTTGTATCTTCTCGCGAAGACGTTTGCTGGACGTTATACACGTCTGAGCCAAAACAATCGTCGGTTTTGGAGGAAGTTGTGTGCTGGAAGCAAGTCGCGCCAGAGCCGCATTTACACCAGAAAATGCCTCTTGGGATTCTTTTACAACGTGAGTTACGAAAGAGCAGCTTTGTATAGAAGCAGAAACACCTGCCTCTTGAGAATCCAGCAAAAGTTGTTGAAAAGCTTGTTTCAGATCGGAACCTCGAGACTTGACGCTTGAGAAAGGATCGACATACCATACAGTGGCTTCACCGTCACTTTGAAAAGCATCCGTCGCGTTCTCTGTCTCTTTAAGAACAACTAAACCAAGGATAGCCCGTTTATTCTGCTGTGCAAAGTAGAGCAGTACTCTCCGCATTAATGAATTCGAGTGTTTCGCATCAGTTCTCTGTTCATGCTGCGGCTCCATAAGATACGAAGCCTGCGCTGTCGACTGAAATTGTAAATCACTGAGTTCATACTCCTGATTGGTACTAGATAGGTGCGGATTAACAACCTTCGCGACGCATCCGAGTGCACAAACTGCACGTGTTAATGCAGAAACATGCAGCTCGTAGACACCCTTTACAGAAGGATCACCTAAAATTTGAGTAATCTCCTTGTGATAATGTTGATACTGCCGCTCGCTTAGCATCACTTCTAGAACCGATTGAGGCTTGGTCGAGAAGTGGGGCACGAGTCGTGTCACACGCCGCGAGCCTGGTAATATTTCAAGCAAATTTGCTTGATCGGCTTCTGCGCAAGAAATATAAAAAACCCGCGGCATCTTTAAGGAAATACGCTGAAGAATTTGAGAATGAGCTGTTAATACCCAGCAGGTGAATACTCCTGCAAGTTCTTGCTGAATCTCTACAATCTGCCAATATTCACGTTGCAAAGCACTTCCTGCATCATAAACAAAATTCTCCATGCCAACTCCGTTGCCATTTAGTGCTAGTGCAGTATTGGGTCTCGTTTGCGAGCGTTTTGTTTTACCATTTAAAGTATTTGTCATACCAAATCCACCCACACCACTATAATTGCGCATTCTTTCATTCCGTTCATGCCGCCGTTTACCAAGCAACGACTTCCATTTCTTCTTTCGACTCGTAAGCCACTGGGAAAATGGAACATCTCCAAGTTTCACTTTGTTATCATCAACGTCATCCACATCAATCTCGTTTATCAAATTACTATTGTCATCTTTATCCTTCTTCCATTTTTCTTTATCTAACTGAACACTTTGTTTCTTGCCTATATCTTCTAAATCCATTAAATATCCCACATAATCTCCATCATCATAGTCTTTTGCAGTAGCTTTGAAGAATTGCTTCATATTTCCTTGCTGATGTTTAGCGTTCTTTTCGCGAACTTGCTTTCTCATCCAGTCAGGTAACTCAATTCGAGGGACCGGATTTCGTACGTTTTGAAACGCTGCCGGTAGTGAAATAATTTTTTGTACAGTCGAGGCAAAACGTGTACGATAGTAATCCCAATCAAGAATCGATCGAATGTCAAAGTCTTGGAGATGAGGATCTCTCAGCCACTTTTTTAAAAAGTGTTTCTTCACAGCATCTTCTGTAGCAAAGATTGCTGTAGGAATTGCCCGCTCGGTCACTTTTTCACCATACGGACGTGCAGCAATTATCATCTTACATGTCAAGCCTTTATCTTTAAGCATTTCCTCGCCAAGAAACTCGCCCAAACGTTTGGCAGTTGTAATTGAAGTCGATTTTTGGCCTTCGTATTCGTCCAGCTTGCCAGACATACTCTTATTCTCCGTAATGAGCGCCATCAACTCTTCATCATCCATGGACTTGCCCCTTGTGTCAATAACATCAAGCCATCGATTCGCACACTTCGCAACAGATGCGTAGCACTCTACGAGACTCGTGCCATCGAGAAAACACTCGAACACCTGTGACTGAAATGCTTTGATAAGCTGCAATTCACCACGTCGCTTGAGCTCAAATCCCTTCAGCTCAGCCAAAGAATGATCAAAGTTAAAGACTGCATACCGTTTTTTCAACAGCCTACCCTCTTCAGTCGATGCAGGAAGCACCATAGCCTTATACGGACCATCCACCTCGAACAGAATAGAGCATTCTTTATGAATAGTATACCTTTTTGTCACTGGGTTCAGCTCATGGTATTGAGGATTTGTGAACTTTGTATTCACATCTGCGTTTAGCATTACACATGGATACGATATATTCTTTGAGCTTCCATCTTTGAGTTTAAAAGAGAAATTTTCGGGAAATGACTTGGGCAAAATTGCCCAGATACCATCAGTATCTAGCTCTAGCGGGCGTCCGATTTGCTCCACTAACTCGCGTGCACCAGTGATGATGTTTGATCCCGTGTGTGTAACAATACCAGCCATCTCCATCGAGTGCCAGCGTGCACCTTTGCGCATCACATAGCCGTAAAATGAATTCAAAATGCACTTATGGGCAAGCTGGAGGGAGTCGTACACAAGGCATTTGTTCTGCGCTTCAATCTTTCCTAAAAGATCATTTGCTTCTGTAGCTTCCACCACTTTTGTTTTCCAAACTTTTGTCAGTCCTTTATAGTCGTAGCGACGATCACGAAATGCTCGTACTGTGTTGACATAGAATGGATTTTCGCGCATACAAACTGTAGCAGATCGCTTTTGCTCTTCAGTGACTTTAGTCTTCTTGTACACACTAGAGCAATAGGACTTCAATCGCTGTTTGAGTAAAAGTTCTTGTTTTTCAGTTGAAAGTTGAGCAAAGGATACAGTAGCTTGAAAACCACGCTGGAAACCGTTTTTTTCATTGCCCCTTGCCCCTCCTCCTTTTTTTTCTAGCGGGAAATTCTCATACTCAAGTTGAGTCTTAATCGAGTAGTATTCAGGTCGCGTGGCAGGATAGAAGTCACCCCGCCAAACCCACTCCATTTCACGCTGGCAAGAAGCATCTTTATCCTGAATAGCTGCTCGACCACATTCGGTATTGTATGAACATGCGGCACAATCAGCTTCATTCACTATAGCACAGGGTTGCAAACGGTTTGTTAATATAATGTTCGGATACATTGCTGCAACATCCAAATGGTAAATAAGTGGCTGCTCCTTTCGATTTGGTCGCTCACGAAGTGCAATAAGGCGATCGACAATATTCTTTTTCACTTCTTCATAATTAGCAACTTGTTCGACTGAAACATTCAATTCTGTTTCAAGTGAAAAGATTAGATCTCGATCGATATTATCAATTAATTGCTGAAAGGCACTAGGTACCAATTGAAAATCATACAAAAAATCAGCACGAAAAACCCCAGACTCAAGACATTCAACGTGACCACCAACATATGTCTCACTTTCAATCAAATGACCTTTGTAAAACTGTTCATCGCGACCAGAACTTTGTTTGTTTGGACATATAATGTTGCCTTGAAAGGCTTCAACCATCAATAAAGCTTCGCAAAGAGTGCCCGAACCTTTTCGAAGAACATCTTCAGAAGCTAATGGAATGATTGTGCATAGCGAAAACACAAAAAGGTGTACATATTTGTCGTACAAATAAAATGTAGCAACGGCATCAGATACTGAGTAAGACGCCATCTTTAACGGTTCATCACGGGCCAGTGCAACCATATCTTCTGCATCGACCTCGACTGGATCATATCCCAGCTTATACTTTGTGACAGCTTTCAAACCCTGACTTCCTTGAGGTAAATACGAATCACGCTTTACCCAACAAAACGCATCCATGTGCACACTACAGCGCCCACGATACTCGCCACTGCGTTCGTCAAGCGAAACTCCAAGTTCATGCGCCATGTCAATATCATACACTTGTGCACGTGCATCAAGAAATGGCCAATCAAAGAAATCACCATTATACGTAACAAAAATATGTGGTCTTTCTTCACTTACATGGTCAAAAAAACACTTGAGTAATTGCTCTTCATTTTCTTTATTAAACACATGAAATGAGCCAGGGTACGCCTCCTTTGGAGTATATTCAAAATCTTCAATATCTTCCGAAACAAACTCGCGATTGACAATCAAATATCCTTGTTTGTCAATCATGTACGAAATCATATAAATTTGGTCAACCTGTGTATCTGGAAACTTTAATGGAGCCTTAGTACATTCAATATCAAAGGCACATACAACAGGTTCTGCTTTGTCCACCATATCTTTCTGTCGTACGACACTTGAGGGTACATATGGCGCTGTCGGATCGTATGCAACGTGATACCATGCACCAACTCGAATATCTAGATCGATAGCTACTCGCATTGAATACGGTACATCAAACTCTCTCAATTCCAATAAGGAGCTTTCATTCTCATCAACTTTGATCCGTTGTTTTCCATCAGTATCGAACCCAAACACAAGATCATCCTCCGTAATTTGTTCTCGCATTTCTCCCTGCATTTCATATGCTTGTCGTGTTTGTAACTTTTCCTGATTCCGAGCAATCAATGGAGTTAATTCTCGTTTCACAGCCATTAAATCCGATACTGTCGCAAAACTCAATTTCACATAAAGTGCTTTCTTTCCATTTAAATGATCTGCTTGATCTAAATCTTCACGAAACACACGCTCTGCTTTCGCAACAAGTCCTTCAAATTGTCGTAAACAATACGCAATCACTTCTTGTGATCGGTTTACTTCAGGACGAATATAAAAGTAGGGCTGGTAAATAATACATGTCTTGAATGCTTTACCATCTTGCTCTAAAAAGTAGAGATCAAGACCACTAACCTCGTGTTTACCATCAATTGGGTCGAGAAGTGTACAAGCACGCATATTAAGGAGCCATCCAAGCTTAGCACGATCATTTTCATTTCCAAATGTATCCAGTTCTTCTTTTTGTGTCTCTTTCTCTTGCTCGAGTAATTCTGGAAGAAGAGAAAACCCAAACTTCTTATCAAGTTCGTAACCTTTTTTTAGTGCGTACTGCTTAGCCTCCGTCATACCGCGTCCCGAACGATTACGTTGTGCATAAGCACGTGCACCTTGAGAGTTTTGTGCCCATGTTGAGCCTCGGCGATTGTATGGATTTCGTGTGGTATTTCTTTTACTATATTGCGCGTTACTGCGCCTCTCCATTCTATTAGGATGTTTCCTTGTCACTAAAAAGCGCGGGAACGAAATAATATGCTTATCCAAAGGCTTTTGATGTGGTTACATCTAAATGTTCTTGCGTTAATTGGTCAAAACAATGATGGAGATGTTTATTTTTCGTCATAATCTCGGTCACAAATGTCGCCGCTGAGACTTTGGGCTTTGCAAGTCTATTTGTATATTCAAAGCAATGAATGATTTATGTCAAACGAGAAGATCTTCAGCACGTCATCGAATCTTTTGTCTTGCCGTTAAAAGTCTGTGTCTTGATTCGAGTATCATTTAGTCATGATTTGCCGCATTATTATTGCTGATGTTAAAAAGGCTCGAGTCTTCGTTAAATTTTGCTCTTTGTTGTATCCTTCGGAAGTTTATAATGTGCAGCACTTGTAATAGAAGTGTTTAGTTTGTCTGAGCCGCTTTATGTTCTTTCTTCGTTAAGCAAAATTCGAAAGAATTTGCCTCAGTCGTTAGATAGATTTCTACAGGTAATCTTTTTCGTCATACATTATAGAGCTAATCGTACGCGAGAGGCATTAGCTACGCATTCATGTTATTATGAGTTACTCTTTATCAATGAATTGATGCATTGTAACTTGGCAGTATGCATACAGAATACTAGAAAGCGTACTCAAGATGGTGATATTGTTAAATGCAAGGCACAACAACTGTAGGGTTATAAAGAAAATCTGAGATTGAAATCTGCTTTAGCATGACTTTCAGGTGTGCAAAACTACGATCACTCGTACTCTGACTCGTACGCTACTGCTAAATTTCAGTGTTAATTCAATCAGGACGATAATTTGCGCTTCTTCGACGCCTCGACATTCTCAAAATACTTGAGAGAATCCTTGGGATTAGCCGTCATGCCCTTGGCACCTTTCTTCCAGTTAGCAGGGCACACATCACCGTGCTCCTCATGAAATTGAAATGCCTCAAGCAAACGCAACACTTCATCGACACTGCGGCCAATTGGCAAGTCATTCATGGTAATTTGACGCAGAATACCCTCCTTGTCGATAATAAAAAGACCACGGAATGCAACACCTTCATCGTCACCGTCCGGCACAAGCACATCATATTTCGAGCACAAGTCCTTTTTAACATCAGCAATAAGCGGGATATTTATCTCGCCTAAACCACCCTTCTTACGCGGCGTATTGATCCACGCTAAGTGTGTGAACTTGGAATCGATAGAGCAGCCAATGACTTGAGAATTGAGCTTTTCGAACTCATCGACGCGGTCACTAAATGCGCAGATCTCCGTTGGGCACACGAACGTAAAGTCCATGGGATAAAAGAGCAGAACCACATATTTTCCCCTGTAATCTGATAGCGAAAGCTTACGAAACTCTCCGTCAACCACAGCGTCGGCGGTAAACTCCGGAGCTGGCTTACGAATCGTTAGAACCATTGAAGATCAAGTCTTATTGTGTTTAAGCTTGTAAAATCGCATGTATATCGTTTACAAATTAAATATTGTATTTCACAGGAAACGTCAAAAGAAGTAAGTAGAAAAACGGCGTCGTTGAGACCACTATGTCGTTCAGCAGCTTTTACTCGGTAGTGAACGCTATAAAGGACAAGTCAGCAGAAGCCATGTCAACACTAAGTTCTGACTTGCAGGACTTCAAGTCTATTGTGCAAGAGGATGTGGCTGAGCTCAAAAAAACCGTACGCCATAACATGCAGGAAGGACGGCTTAGCGTAGACCGCAGAGAATCTGATGAGAGCGAGGAAATGACAGAAAATATGGACGATTCTGATCAGGTAAAGCAGGATCAGGATCAAGGTCAGGATCGACGCAGCGTAGAATCAACACAGACATTGATAGAGGAGAAAGGCGAAGCGGAGGATACGCTGACGTTGCTTAAGAATTCATTTTTTTCTTTCGACGTCACAAACTCCTTTCACTCAGTCAGCAGCACGGTTCAAGGATCTCTTAATTCAATGCAGGGATCACTAACCTCAGTAAGCGACAAATTACAGTCATTAAATGTAACCTCGAGTCTCGGCTCGCTTGAAGCCATGGGCTCTAAACTGTTGAACTCGGCTGACGAATACCTGGGTACGCTGGCGGGAGATATCCCTAACAATGAGGTTGAAGAACTAAGTGAGATTGAGCTCAGTGCCCAACGATTCCGTTTGCTAGCACTGCAAGAAGACTCAGAGACATACGTTGATCCGCCACTTGATCTCGAGACTTTTGAGAAGTGGAAACTCGCCATAAATCCTGAGGAACTCGTGGATATCCAGAAGCACTTGTTGGAGAATTATCCAGCTGTTGGGTCTAAATTAAGAGAGCTGGTGCCGTCTGTGGTAGATGCAGACGTGTTCTGGATGCACTACATATACAAGGCCTCGCTATTGGCAGCACAAAAGCAACGCGGTGCCGACTTGCTCCAGCATGGTGCGTTATCAAATACGTTATTTTTAGGAGTTTCGCTAACGTGCTGTTTCTGAATCAGCTTTGAACGATGAGGAAGAGGAAATTGGCTGGGATGTAGACTCCCCCAAAGCTAAAGACGATGAAGGCAAGCCAATCTTTCCGGATGATGAATCGAAAGTTGACGATGAGAAAACGTTAGCTAATACTGCTACCATGAATGGCCCAACTTCATCTAGCGACGGTGAGAGCTGGATTGAGCTAGATGAGCGGAAGGATTCAACGTCACCGATTGCTCCGATACTCCTACAGGAGCCACCCACCAGTGATTTGACGAATTTAAAGCTGGAAGAAGGGGATGAAGCTGCAGAAGAGGACTCTTTGGACTGGGGTGATGATGATGATATATCACTGCCAGAGACAAATGATAATGCTAAATCAGAGGCAAAAGACCTTGAAACAACTTCCACAACTCATGAGGACGGTAGCAAACGTGGGGAAGACTGGGGTGAGTGGGACTAAGTGGGATTCATCCATGCATGATTATATCAATTTTTCATTGTTTACAAGAATGGTGCAGCAGTTTTTTATTATTAACTACTGAGTCATCAAAAAAAATTGCATCAGAGTAATCGAAGTAATTCGACTAATTTTAAGATGTCATTATTTAACTTAGCATTCAAAACGCTCTTCGAAATATAACTTTTGCTAAAATTGGTGAAGCTCGCGTTATACGGTATGTCCACACGTTGTTTTTTCCAAGCCATACGACTAAATGCGGATGAGGCTTTCGACCATATCTATCAGGCGACATCTGATGTCGATTTGACTCCACGCATTTAAATGTCAATGATGGTTCTTCAATATGATTTTCATATAAAAATATTCAGATTTTGATAAAAGTTAAGGTGCAACATTATCGGCTGCATGATAAAAGTCGCTAGCTGTACCCGACAACCTTATTCGTCATTGCGTTTGCTTCCAATCTATATTATTCGAGCAGCATGCCGACAATGCTCAGAGACACGTATGTCAATTAAAAATTAGCTTCGCTATCAAAACTTAGCTTGAGTTACACGTCATAAATGTCACTTCAAGGCCGCCCATACGTTTCAAGCAGAACTCAATTAATATAGTCGCTTTGTCGGAAGGTGCAATCCCGTTATATTGTACGTTATTATCGTCAATAGATTATACCTGAACTCCTTATTGAATTAGTGGGCAGCCACGATTAATTTTACCGCAATAATCCACGTGCCTCTTTAGACTTCACATTGAATCTGACTTCGGCATAACATTGTTCGATTCCTCTGACCTATAGGTCGAATATTAGCAACTTAAGGCTGTCAACCTCAAATATAGAGCCATGTAGAATATAAAGAGAAGGTATGTACTAAAAAATATTTGAGTGTTCATAGATATTCGGTAGAAATGAATGTTTGCTACTCTGGCAAAATAACATTTCTGAGAATGGCCAGGTTGCCGAGTACTGGAAAAGAATTGGCGGAAAATAGCTTGAAAGATATGCTAATGATGCGTAAATTGCAACTGTAAAGTATGTAAGTAATTTTTATTTGTTGTCCAGCTTATAGTGCTTTATTCGCCAGTAGCATATGTTTTGCTGTTTACCAAATGTGATGTGTACTCAAGTAATATTCTAGCGTGAAAGCCCCACGTCGAGCATCAAAGTATCGAGATCACGGTATAGCGAAGTTGCTTAATGTCTATTACTAGCGTCAGATTAAGTTAAGACGAGAATCATGAACACCGTCGCTGGTTAGCAGATCCTGAGTGTACACATACAATTTTCAACCAGCAAGACCGTACACAAAAATTTAATTTTGGAGACAAAAGCACGCAAGCTTTAAGTAATTTCTGCACAAATCCAGTCTCTATCTTCATTTTTATGTTTCAAGTTGAAAGAAAATCCTTATGTAGCAAGATGGTAGTTCTCTATATGAGGACGGCAGAAGGACAAACTGCTCATTTTTATGCAGATCTTGAAGCAAAGCACATCCTAGAAAAGGCATACGAAGTAGAGAGTGGCCCACAAACCTTACGGTAATGTCGGAGTGACGGCAAATCTGAAAATTTACCACGACAGAACGTACATAATCAGCTACCTTTAATTAAGAATGAGAAGACTAGGGCTGATAATCCTCTTATAGAGTATATTATCGATAGTAATCTGATTAAATTAATGTGGATTTGCAGTACGACAAAACGTCTCTCGTTGTTATGCTTGTTTAGAGGATTGCACGCAGCTGAGCCAGCAACGAGAGTATCCAGAGGGTGGTTAAAAAGAGGGAGCTTATATTGACCCTCACCCACCTCTGTAACGCAATATACAAATTTAAAGTCATTTGGTACTCCCCAAACATTCGACAGAAACTGGATAGACAGTCGTAAAATAACACAAGAACACGCGGAACCAGAGGCAGCAAAATCAGCAGGTCTCCATACAAAACGCCCCTTTCAGTACAACAGGAGATAGCATTAGAGAAACACAGACGACATGGGACGGAGGACATTTGGCGTAGTTTTACTGACGCTCTGTGTGATGACGTCGGTGTTTGTATCGGCCAGCGACATGGCGACCAACAGCAGTGCCAACGCCACCGCTAGCAAGAATGAGACCGTGGCACAATTGCTGAAAAATGTTCAGAGTGCAGTTGCAGACAATCCCGCGCTTGCCAATATGTTTGATATTCCAAATGCCAATGAAATGAGTGAAGAGGAGCTTACGACTTTGCTTCAAGAGCTTTTGGATGTCGGCGTCAGCGTTGATAGCTCAGGATCGACCTCAACAAGTAATGAATCAGCTGAGGAAGCTACGAGTGCATCAGCAGCAGACACGTTACCGTCTAGCGCTACAGTTCATACGGTTCCAGCGATATCTGCGGCGATCGTGATAGCTGCTACACTTGCTGCGATTTTGTAGATACGCTACGTACAGGGATGGATGGAGGTAAAGGTGACGAAAAGCGCAAGAATTTCAGCTCACAGCGCTACAATCGGTGATCCAGTTTGATATATTATTCATCGACAAACAACATACAAGACGGGCTATCGTACTTTTAAGAGCTTAGGAATTTAAGCATGCTCTTTTTGAAAACTGTTTTCTCATTTATATCAGTGAAGATATGTGGTAGAAATAAAAAGTAACCAGTCGAACGGACATCGAAGTCAGCGACTATTCTAGATTCACACACTTGTCGCTGCTTCATCTGAATTTTATCGTAATTTGATTTGTTTTTCAATGCGAAATTATGTTTGCCCTAAAGCGATGATCAGATAATTAAGCTACTGGGACCATAGCTCGGAGCAAAGTAAAAACTTTGGCCACTCGGGTAGCATTCTTTTGGTTCGTGTGACACAATTACTTTTGCTCATGCTTATTAAATGCACGTGTGTATCTCCATATTTAATAATACCACAGCCTGTTAACGGTCTTCATCTGTACCAATACTTTAATACTTAAAAAACACAAAGTGAACGTGAATATCACACAAATTATAAGTGCGAGGTGCACATACTGTGACTGTATTTGAATTAACACGTTAAAGATTAAACATGCGTGACAGTACAACAGTGCAGTACGTACCCTTTTACACCTTTCTCCACTAGGACGTGGAACGCACTGAGGTTCACACTCATCTTGTCTTTAAAGACGTTGCGCAAAGGTGATCTCCACTGAGCCAGAAGTCTCACTATATTTCTTGAACTAAACTGTACCTGCTTTCGGCATCGGAGCTTCTTATCTGTTCACACCATCATATGGCTCAGTGAGCATCTGAGAGAAAAGTCTGTCCCTTTAGCAAAGTTTATCAACAAGACAGGGTGTTCTCTGAGGAGAACGGCATCGGCGCTCATTCAAGTCCTGGCCCGACACCACCGCCTTTATCAAGGTAAACGAATATACATACAGGCAGGGCTTGTCACTGAAACGCTTTTTTCCGTTGCTGCACTTCGTGGATATTCTCTATGGAAAAAACACTGCGCGATGATGTCCAGCTGGTTAATAATGTTCTGGGCATGGCTCATGGACTTCAGCTCATCCGACTAAAAGCACAAGAATAGTAAAGCATTTTGTCTACGCGATCCCGTTGTGATTATAAATTTTCACTTTATCTTCCGCTGCTCACCGCGCATACACCATTTTTATTATACATGATGGCCTTTTCATCGGACAAAGTTCAACAGAGTACCCGAACGCTGCTCCGTGAGTGCTTTCTAATCACTCAGAATACCACTTCTCAGACAAACCGCCTGTGCTGAAAGCAGCGGCGATTGGACATATCCATAGCCTCCAAAGATGATGAACCTTGAGTACTGATCTGAGCACCGCTTCAAGTCCAAATGGGCATCAAGTCCCACAATTTTGAAGCAAGAATATCCCTTTTTTCATCAGAGGAAGGTTAGTCTTAGAGCAGCGACGGTGCAGGACGACCCTTTTTCGGCCTGCACTCGTGTGTATATCAGTTGTGGTCTCTGCGTGCGATTGGTACTAAGATAAGTCAGGTTTGGGTGCGCTCTCTCAGCTACAACGTCTCCCATTGTATCCCCAGCGGTTCAACACTGTATGCAATTCTAGGGTCGGGTGTATACCCGACACTGAGGCTCAAGTGGATGACCGCTTGACCTGGGGCCCTAAGGAATCTGGTCGATGCCCATTGAACCCGAATCAATACACCTAACATAGGTCACCAAAGTGGTCGAGCGATTGCACTCACGGAGTGTGAATACCTTGCTAGCGCGCACCCAAGTCAATGTGTGATCGCTGAATGGTCTGGACGCCACACTGACCGAGGGTACGGAACCCAATCCCAAATAGGGTCGAATAGCTACAAGCAATCCGAGCTGGGGAAAGTTTTGTCCTAGAGTGTGAGTTCCGAAAGCATACATCTCTCTGGGCAGTGTGCAGCTCGGTAACAGGAAATTGAGTGGACTCTGACCTGGCTCCAATAAAGCGCTTTACATCCGACTGACTTGTTAAGGCGGGGCTATAGCAAGACCACCTAAATTCAGGGGGTGTTCGGAAATTCTTCGGAAATGTTCGTAATCGTCATAAACGGTCTGATGTACGATGACATCAACTTAGATATTTTGGCCGCAAGCATTCTAAAAAGCTCAGTAGCTTTTTATCTGAACTTTCGTCCGACTACATACTCATTTGTCTTTTGAGGGCGTCTGGTATGGTCATGCTGTTTCGAAAACTCTGGATTTTATACATAGTGCAGCGGGGCTGCTGTAGCTCTTTTGCTTAGATGAAGCCTAGTTAAGGTCAGTGACCTTCGTGCTATGCTTAGAGCCAGTAGAGCGTAGCGAATCGCAACCCCAGTATCCAAGATAACAACAACTTTAGCCCACGGCTAAATAACTCTTTCAGTTCAAGTGTAAACTATATTTCTCGTTTTTGCGGCAAAGCCGCCTATATTCAACTCTATAGGTTATTTTATCTATATACCTAATCAAATTTATAACTACTGGCTGTTCCAGGCACGTACTGACTTCTTGCTTAAGTGTAGCCACACCATTTTGTGGTCATACCATCTTGTATAATCCACACCCTTCATATCAGGGCATGTAGAACCTTGTTACACTCTCCCTCATCAAGATTGTGAACACCTACAGTTTGCATTCAGTCGTCGCCTCGAACAAGGCTCGTAAGTCTAAGATACCACAACACCACCAGGACCTACTTCACGAATTTTTGCTCAATGAGCCTTGTGTCGAGGACACGGAAGAAACATAGCCTCGCTGGTTCCAAGAACGCCCGCGGGCAGAGCCCGTCTTCGTTTCCTGCACGCGGTGCAACTTCAAAACAGTATGTCTGCGGCTTCAAATGGAGCGCACCCAGGCTCTCGTTAACCAAGTACCGCGGAGCGCATTGTCAGCAACAAGGTCGCACGACTGACAACGCAGACGCGATGTCTACTTCCGACCGTGCACCGCTCCCGCCACGGGTGATGGATTACCTCGTCGAGGATTTTGAGGAAGTCGACAACGAGTCAAATACTTCTTTCCCAGAATGGGAAAATGAAGAGGACAAGGTGCCCCAGCGGCGCGACGTGAGCTCTGCTCGAACCATGTAGACACCCCCAAACTCTCAACTTCCGGTGGAAATAGTATCATTCCGAA